TTCACAGTAACGAGCTTGTTTTAGCTTATGAAGCCTTTCTTTGTTAAAAAAAAAAAAAGGGCATGAGGAGTTGAAAGACCTGCCTTGTCCCCCACAACACTATCACTCTCTCTTCCTCTAAACATCCTCAAACCCAAAGCAAGAGTCTTCTGTCTTCTGCAACAATGCTGACTGTCCACGTATGTTCAATTCCCAGTTTAAATGCGTATTATCTCTTTTTCCCTCGCTTTTTTACCTAGAGGAAAGCAGTAATATTCAGCCACCAATAACCATGCAGTTTTGCAAAGCATTTGGAGGTACAGCCTCCCTGAGTGACAACATGCAAAACAAATCTGTCATGTATGCAACTACTACTATCAACTAAATAGATATCAAGTATTTAGGAAGGATTTAGCATTCCAGGTTTTAGAATCCTAAATATCAGTTAATCAGTTAAAGTGTCTTATGCATACCCACAACTTTCCACTTTGCAAAGCTCACTTATAATTACCCCCAGCTGTCTGTCAGAGTTAGTAACAAACCCCAACTTTCAATATAATTTTCAAATTGATCTTTTGGTCTTTGACACTGTTTTTACCTGCTTTGTGAAAAAAAGTGTTCCCTTGATATTTAATAAAGAGCCCATATAGGTAGCTATAAAGGGACTACCACAAAGAAAAGAATCATATCCAGAATCTCCTGCCCAAGTGTTCCCAGCTTGGTGTTCAGGCAGAAGGGGCCATGGAAGTGCCAGGAGCAGTAAAATTAGAAAGGTTATTAAAAACAGGGGAAACAGGTGGAATATACACATGACAATTATGTCCCACTCAAAGTCCATCAAACCCCATATCCTGTCCTCAACAAAGATCAAAAATGAGAGCCTACTGCAGATACAATGCAGATAGCATATGCGATATTTCCACTCAGCATTCACCTCATCTCCAACTATGGGCAGTCTGAGGAATTCTGAACTTTGATGTGTTTTTTACGTATTTAGTAATCCTCAGTTCATTCCTCTTGCACAAGCTTACCCATTTTCCTTGAACGGAACTAAACTTTTAGGACCCAGAATTTCCCACAGCAAGGAGTTCCACAGATTACACTGATATTGTACAAAGAATCACCATGTGATATAAAGAGCCAGGTGTCTTGCTAGCATCATCTGATGGTGCCCATTTCTTAAAATGGAGGTGACAAAGAACATCTGCAGCTTGTCCACTTTCTCTAGCCACCCATGACCTTGACTGTAACCTGGTCTGCCCTCATAGGGGACCCTGCTTTAAGCAGAAGGTTGAGCTTGCTAATCTCCTGAGGTCTCTTCCAACCTGAATTATCCTGTGGTTTTATAGACATCTGCAGTTTTCCTTCACAGTTTTTCTTCTTCCATCCTAAAGAATCCCACCCAGCTTAGTTGTTCTTTATATAGAAACCAGCTCATACTTAGGGGTCTTTTTTTTTCCTTCTCCAGTCCTGCAGTAGTCTTTCTGAGACAAAAAATCAGAAGCATCCACAACATTCAAGATGGAAGTGACGGCACAGGTCCCCATGGGCTCCCCGCTCTCCATTCCTTTCCTTACAATTCCTAACATTTGATCTGCTTTTTTAACCAACATAGTGTATTGAGATTATGCCATTCTTGTGTGGTAAATAGCTTAGAGTTTCTCACTGTCTGTGTATTAGGACTGGTTTTCTTCTGAGCTCTCAGGAGCTCTCCTTTCTATGGGAGAAGTAGCTGAAGCACTCAGACTACCATCCCTTGCCGG